TTATCCTGTTAAAATGAACTCCAGCTGGACACCAGTGGCTGACACCTGTAATCCTAGCTACTCAGAAGGCTAAGATCTGATTATTGTGATTTGAAGCCAGCCTAGGCAGTAAAATACAGGAGACTCTTATCTACAATTAACCACTGAGAGACTGGAAGTGGCACCGTGGCTCAAAGTGGTAGAGCTCTAGCTTACCACTGTCCCTGAGCAAAAAAGCTCAGGGATAGTACCCAGGCCATGAGTTCAAGCCCCATGACCAACAGTAACAAAAAAAAAATCTCCAGAAATTCTTAATTATTTTATGGAACTAGAATGTCATTCGATATAATTTTAAGCAAATCAATCATTGATGTAGTGGGAGGATTTTAGAAATTTTCCTTATAGCAATACTTCACCTATTTAAGATACTCAGTCTGCTTTGTAGAATGGAACTCTGGGGCAAATTATTATTTGTCTGCTTAGATCATTACCTAGGAAATCTCATATTAAGTTTAGTAACTGTCTGTTGATAGTGTCTCATGCCTACAATCCTAGCTACTCAGGAATCTGAGATCTGAGGTTTGAAGCCAATCCAAACAGAAAAGCCTTAGAGACTCCAATTAACAAGCAAAAAACTAGATTGGAGGGGCTGGGAAGGTGGCTCAGTGGTAGAGCGCTTGCCTTGCATGCATAAGGCCCTGGGTTCAATTCCCCAGCACCACATCAGCAAAAAGAAAAAAAAGCCACAAGTGGCTCTGTGGTTCAAGTGGTAGAGCACTAGCCTTGAGCTGAAGAGCTGAGGGACAGTGCCCAGGCCCAGAGTTCAGGTCCCATGACCGGACCCAAAAAAAAAAGAAAAAAAAAACTAGACTGGAGATATGGCTCAAGTGGTAGAGCACTAGGAAGAGGGAGTTGCCCTGAGTTCAAGCCCTGTACCAGCACCACACAAACACACACCACATACAGTAGACATCCTAGGCTATCTCAGAGGAAAAATACTCCAAAAGGAAAATAATATTTTCATTCATTTCATTTAAAATGTATATCCTATATCATTTGCCTATGGGAAATGTTACACAAGGGAAAGAACTACTAGCATACTGTAATTACAGAATATCTTCATTTGTTGTTCACTCAATTTCACTGATGCTGAAACTGAAGTACAACTTATGGGCCCACAATAACACAGAGTTGAAGCTAGTGTTCAGACTCAATACTGTGGCTCCACAGTCAGCTTTTAACTGTATTAACTATATCCTTTTTTCTCCTCTAAACAAATGAAATATCCATAAAAGAAACATCAAGAACTCATTTATTTTCTTAAAAGTTTATTTAGGGTTGGGAAGGTGGCTCAGTGGTAGAGCGCTTGCCTTGCATGCCTGAGGCCCTGGGTTCAATTCCTCAGCACCACATAAGCAAAAAGAAAAAAAGCCGGAAGT